AGCCAGGGGATAGACAACAAGAGTACCTGATTGCTGTCCATCTAGCAGATATGATTCTAACGATCGTGTTCCGGTCAGCCTAATCGATTGCCAAAAAAAACACGCTTGTAGCACAGATTGTTCCCGACCGCCTTTATTTAGACAGTTTCATTTTGCACATTTGTTTAGCTAGTGTTCTTGGGAGAGAAGGAGGTTGAATGTTTATCTAAAGTTCACCGTGTCAATTAAGGATCTGTTTGGATCTCTTTAAACTGCAGGTATTAATAAATAAAACAAAATTTTAAAAAGAAAGAAAAAAAAAATTTCTCCAAAATCAATTTTAGTCTAACATAAAAAGTTCAATATTTTTAAATTTTGACAGCGGAGGTTATAGACGAAAGGTGTATTCCATGCCTATATATTGCCTACTCTGGATAGTTTAAACAAAAATTGACAGTACAGTATTTTAATTGCAAAAGAACAGAAAAAAGTATGTCAATACAATTTTTTGCCAAAATTGATATCACCAATCTTTTTTCATCAAACGCGCAATATAACAATATTAATTTTGGTAATTTTAAAGAGAAAAAAATATTGAATTTTGACTTTCCGCTATTGTTTTCATCGCAGTTTCTTGAAAACAAAACAGGTTTTTTGAATCTTAAATGAGTTTGTTTCTCTAAATTCAAACGAGTCTCTGGTCACATTTGAAAGTTTTGACTGTGATAAAAATTATTAAAATCTTCAAAATTTTTCCTTTTTCCAAGTTTGATTAATTTTCCCAATTATTCAGAAAAGTTGTGATTTCTCAAACCAGAAGGTTTTGAGAGTCCATATTTTGAGTTTGAACCCGTAGTCTCAAGCATGTGTCGTGTTGCATCTAACCACATAGTTTCAAATCAAAAAGTCAGAAGAAACGCTTTTAATTTTATGAGTTTTCTGATTTTTTCAAGGAATCGGAAAATTTGCAGAATTTAGAAAAAAATTAATTCAAAAACAAAACCTGAAGAACTTTGCATTTTCCTGCTTACAGATAAACTTGAATATTTTCAAATAGGAAACATTTTCATCATGCAAAGAAATTTTTCCAAGACCAACTGGTAACAATTCCTTTTCACTCAAGATATTCAATAATTTTTACCCTCTGTTATTGATGGAACAGGCATATGATCTATTTTTGCAAAAAAAAAGGGGGAACTATCACTGAAGTCTATCATAAAGTCTATCATAAAACTTGGTTGCTTACAGGCACGCCTCATTCTCCCCTACAGATACAGTTATAGCTAAATGACATTAAAAATGTGTTCAATCTCATCAAGTTTGTCCGAATCCATAAATTTCCAGACGAATTTTTGTCGACGTTAAAGCAATTTTTTTTTGAAAAACCGAAAAACGGCTGAAAGAGCTTTATTATGATGCTTACACTTGACCTTTATGAGCTCTCTTCGAGATAATCAAAAGGATTATATAAACATCGTGTAGATCGTTTCGTTTGAGAAAGTTTTGATCTTAAATTAATTTGGATTCCAACGCAATGATGAGCGTCTTAATTTAAAGTCGTTTGATTTTGTGGTATCAAAAAATCATAGTCAAGGGATAGACAACAAGAGTACCTGAATGCTGTACAACTAGTAGAGGAAGTTCTCTCGGTCGTGTTCCGGTCAGATTAATTGAATGCCAAAAATTACGATTGTAGCTCAGACTGTTCCGACCATAATTATTTTGCCAGTTTTTTAGCACATTTATTTAGAAGGTTTCCTTGCGAGAAGAGGAGTTTGGATGCTATACTATAGCTTTTAGGTGTCAGTTAAAGAAATTTTTGGGACTATTCAAACTTCAGGTATTATTCATAAAACAAAATTTAGGAAAGAAAGATAATTTATTTCTCCAATATCAAATTAAATCTAATACAATAAGTTCAATATTTTTTTATATTTTGACAGAGGAGGGGATAGACGAAAGGTATATTCCATGCCTATATATTGCCTACTCTGTATAGTTTAAGCAAAGATCCACAGTAAACGGCACTTTAATTGACAAAGAACAGAAAAAACTATGTACAATACGTTACAAAATTTTAAAATGATAAATAAAGAGAAAAAAATCTTAAAATTATGAATAAAGAGAAAAAATGTACATTTTAAAATGATAAATAAAGAGAAAAAAATTCAATTCATATTGTTGATTTTTCGCAATTGTTTTTATCGCCTTTTCTTGAAACCAAAACAGGTTTTTTAAATCATTAATGAAATTATGTTTCAGTTTCTGGTCACATTTGAAAAGTTTGACTGATGAAAAAATATAAAAATCTTCATATTTTTTCCTTTTTTCAAGTTTGATTAATATTCCAAATATTCAGAAAAATTGTGATTTCTCAAACCAGAAGGTTTTGAGAGTCCATATTTTGAGTTTGAAACCGTTTGTGTCGTGTTGCATCTAAACCTTATGGTTTCAAGTCAAAAAGTAGGAAAAAACGCATTGAAAACAGTTTTGTGTTTTTGTCGAAATCCAAAATGGCTTCCATAAAGTATTTCGAATTTTTCGAGGTACTTATGTATTAAAGAAATCGGCCTATAATTACTAAATTCAATGAACTGTCACTTCTAAGCAAAGGCAAAGTTTAAGCTTGTGGAAATATAGCTTTTTTAAGCGCTTGTGGAAATATACCTGAGCGCTATGAAAGATTTGTTAGATATGTCAGAGAAGACGCAATAACATGGCAATTTTTTATCGAAAAAGAATACTTAGTCAATGCCCAAGTGCTTCTAAAACCTCAAGATATCTCGAGTCTTCTATTAATGTTGTTTTACTGAAACTTGGTTCAACGACGAAACAAAAATGTTCGAAAATAAAGATTTCCAGAGTGTAATATCCAATTCAACTAGCAGTAGCCTATATTCCTTATGATGAAAATCATTTAGTACTCGAATTAGATAATGAGTGGAATGGATCTCAAATTATAAAATTCCATTTTTTTTACCGGGAGATTTTGATATTACTGTTCTACAAAGTAATAAACTAACTACATCCTAAGTTCGATTAATGGCAATGGTTTCGAATTCTTGAATACAAAAATAAAAAGAGGCTCGATAAATGTCAATGTTCGAGTATACCTATGTTCAATTACGCCAATTGTTTCAAATTCTTGAATACAAAAATAACACAATCTAGTGAAACCGCTGAAACATGTCTTGATCATTTTATTGTCGGAAATTTAATTAGTTCGAAAATCAAATCGATGGTTGAATGTTTCTTATCATTATCCAGTTCTAACAAACTTCGATGCAACTCATAAGATCGACTCAACTTGTTTGGATTATCTCAATATGTCCTTCATGAACCAAGAGAACTCTCTCACCAATCTCCTGTTTTTGCTTTAAAAAGACTGGAGTCTTCTGATCTCTATGCACAGAACGTAAATGATGCGACCAATTTTTCGAGTAATTGCTTTTCGATATCACTGAATAAGTCTACACCACTCAAAATATCGAAAACAAAATGCAAATTCAACGCAGCTTGGTCTTATAGAAGCTTTCAAAACGTCATATTAAAAAGAAACCAACGATATAGGGAATGGAAAAATGACAAAAACGATTTGCGCAAAAATTCTATGGCAAAAGGCTGGAAAACTTTTAAAATTCAGAATTTCAATCTAATAAAATTGAACAAAAATACTATTTACCTTTAGTGCACTCGGATTTTGTTGTTGTCTCAGATTCCGATGTCATTAGAGGTCATAGTGAAAAAATTACTGAAACAAGAAATGAAATCTACCAAAGCGTAGTCCGGGAACTGCCCCTTTTTCAAAGAAGCCTAAAATTTCATAGTTTTTCATCAGCCTTCCAGATAAAGTGGATTGTCCCCTCGCGAATCCTTTTATCCGACTGTCATTCTTCATTATACGAAGAAGTTTTGCTCTTGCTCTGATTGTTTCTTCAAATATCGTGACACTGGTAGTTTGTATCATGTTGAAGATTTTTCTTTTTCCTTAGAATGTTTATATTTGCCACCCTACGAGAAAACGAACACAATAATTGGCCTAACAGCATTGGGTCGAGAAATTAAAACTGTGAGCAATGGGTATTTATTTTTCGTCTTCATCGGCCTCAATTGCTTTAACAATATTCAAAACCTTCTTCATTGTTGATTCCATGTTTCCTGGTTTGTTTCCTTCACCGCGTGTTTCAAACCTGCTCTGTCTTGTAGTTGTGACATTTCGCTGCAAAAACTCTTTGACTCCTTTCACAGCCTCATCGATGAAATTTTTCAGCATCACAGTCAATTCAGATCGGAGTTTTGTCAATGAATAGTTGGTACTATAGACACGAGTGACTCTGATATTTTTGCTTTTATCATTATCGCCATATAATCGTCTTCTTCATTGCTCACCTTTTGACATGGACTTATTGATGTTCTTTCTATTTTCTTTGGTTTTGCAATCGGAGTTTGATCTAGGTATTTGAGCGCTTAGATATCATAATTTGTTTCACTGAATGGAGAATTTTGATTCTCGGAACTCATTCTCAGCTCGATTTAGTAAGTTTATCACAATTTTAAGGCAATACGTTTATCATAGTACAACTAAACGAAAAAATTAATAACAATAACAAAAGGCAATCAGTTTTTGATATAAACCGGGGCAATCAAGTCCATTTCCGTCACAAAAACAGTTTTACCTTCTGGAGAAAAGAAAATTAGCATTGAGTCTCTTCGTGTTTTCTTTTTTTTGTGCTGCTCTTTGCTGTTTTTTCCGATTGTTTCTGTTTTTCTTTTAGCACCAATTCTTTTGAAATACAACTGACCAGTTTCTTCTACTAAGACAGTTACCACAACCAGGGATCTAGTTGACTGGATCTAAAAACCTCTTTTCTGTATCCATTGATAACAACTTCGGTACTGGCAACGATATCAGGCACATTTTTCTTCTCTTTTTTTTGTAAATTTACAAGTTTCATTCTGCAAACAATTGATTTGAAATGAATGGCTTTTAATTGATGAATGATGTACTGGTTAAATTGTAGGGACTGAAAATCCTTGCAGTTTCGGAGTGTGGCCTGCTATTCAGAAGGAGTCGGCTGCCGCTCTTCCCATAGAGAACTCAATCAGATACCCTAGAGTATTTCAAGTGAAGCCTTGCATGGAGCCGATACTGCGACTAGTCTACCAAGACTTCTACGTTGCATTTTATGATCTGATTCTCAAGTTGTGTGGCAGCAAGTTCAGACTACGACGCATTACAAACAAGATGTTGCACTTTTTTAAAGCTTCAGGAAAGTATTTTAACACCTAAAATTGAATACGCCATACATAGCGGATATTGTAAAGGCTTCGGTACTTGTTATGAGTCAATGAACATAGTTCAAACTCTTAAATAGTTCGGTATGATTTTTTTTTCAGAAGTCCTAAAATTAGTTCAGGCTCAAATTTACTTTTTTTGCGGTTTGACTTTGAACAAAGGAAATGAACTGAACGTAAAAAGAAATCAAAGTCAAACCGCGAAAGAAAGTCAAACCTAGTTTAAAAAAGCTGGACTCAAAATTTTAAAAAGTTAATTTAATTTTCAAGATTTTCTAGCGCAATAGAAAAATTATTTATTGAACGGACCAATAAATAAGTTTTTTATTTCGCTAGAAAATCTTGAAAAGTAAATTGAATTTCTAACCAGAAGTTGATCAAGTTTTTCGTGAAATTTACATTTTTGCTGTTCGATAATAGAGTTTTCATTCCTTTGAACAAAGGAAATGACTGAACGTAAAAAGAAATCAAAAGAATGAAAACTCTACTATCGAACAGCAAAAGTGTAAAGTTCACGAAAAACGTGATCGACTTCTTGTTAGAAATTCAATTTACTTTTCAAGATGTTCTAGCGAAATAAAAAATTTATTTATTGGTGCTATCAAAGAAGTGTCAATCATAAGTTGTTCAAGTAACTCAAAGAGCTGAAACACTATCTATTTTTTTTCTTAGAAATTTGAAAGTGTTCCTAAAACAAGTTAGTTTTTTTTGTCAGCTACGTTTTAAATTGGTAATTAACAGATGGAAGGTATTAGCCTGTTGAACTTGAAAAGCTAATTCATATGGACTCTTCTGACTGATTCTTACCTTTTAGGCTACTTCATTCGAAACGAGTGGAAATGGGAGCAAACTAGCTTCAACAAGGTTCGCAACTTCCTAAGACAAATGGACCAAAAAGACCAGCAGCAATTTACACTCGACTACAGTGTGATCAAATGGGACGAGTACTATTTCAGCTACTTCTCAGGTGTCAAGAAGTACATTCTCAAGGAAAGTCTTACGGATATGAGCAAGGCTAGGAGCCGTCAACGCTTTCTCCTCTTCATGATGTACTTTGGAGAGCCTCTAGTTCTCATATTGTTTTGCCTGACTGTATTTTACACTACGAAAATCATCTGTGAAACTCTTTTCTGAACTCATACGATTTCATCTGGATTTGTAAATGTAGACATGTACTACTTTCGCAGATCAGCTAAAAATTACAAATAATTATTCCTTATAGAGCTTTATTTAATCTCTTTCAATGACTGCGTTTATTTGAGAGTAATCTCACTCTACTTGCAGTCAGGCTTGGATCTAGGGGGGCTTTTGGAAAAAAAAACAGGCCAAAAGTGACGTTTCAGGGTAATTTATTGATGAAGAAAAAGTTTTGCTCAAAAATTCTTTTTTTTTGACGCGCGCTCTCATCTCAAGTTTGGTGTATTTGGGTGATCAGGGTGCGCCCACCGCGCCCTAAATCCGCTACTGCCATTGTACATTTGACGAATCAGTGCGTACTTGCGAAAACCACTATACATCAGGAGGATTGACAATTAATTAAATTTGAAAGAACAAGAAAGATTGGTGAAATACCCATTTGAAAATCTATTTCAATTAGTTTCCACCATTTATAGCTAGCTTTTGCGTACAGGGGCAATTACCATTGGTTCATTAGTAATTTTTTCACGAGTGAAGCGTGGAGCTAACATGCGAGGACAAACTTTGCCGCGTATTTCTGCTCTGCGTAGTTCGCGTAATCAATTGAAAGCCATTGCCTTTTTGTACCAGGCGAAATTCAGCTTCGCACCAATGACACTACAAACGAAGTAAAACAGTTTGCTCTGCAAGAAGAGTAGAATGCACTAGGTTTATATGCACTTTTTGAGTTCATTTGAAATTCATCTGCTGAAAGTTACGTAAATGGTACTTTCCAAATACGAACGTGGAAATGGCGCGAATAAAGTGAACGATTTCTACTTTTAGAATTTCTAGAATCTAATTTTTCGATCTACCGCGGAATAAGAAATTTACTTAGTGATCCAGTTTTTTTTAAGTCGGGTTAATGTTATCAGAAAAAAGCCAATCATAAATTGTTCTAAAAATTCAAAGACCTTAAAGGGCATCTATTTTTTCTTTGAAGTTCGAAAGTTAGATTTCTTAAAACAAAGTCAGTGTTTTTTTTGTTTACTTGCGTCCATTACTCTTTTCCAACTATCAGTGGCTATGTTTTTCATTTTTTTCTCTTTCTCATTTTTAATGCTGCTCGGAGTTTATTCGCTTGTGTATTCATAGAGTAGCTCTGCCTGTGTCATTTTTCACTTTCTTGCACCAGCCATCGTAGTGCAATAGTACGAGTAAGTCACAAATTCTGGTGCCAGCTTTGGTGGCGGCTTCCGGCAACAACAGTGCAATGATAAAAACTGCATTGCGAAAATTTTCCAACTCAAAATATTTGTACATAATTTGGCTTTATGCGTTCCGATTTGTTGCATGCAAAGTTAGTATGGATGCCTTTAGTTTATTATTTTCCAAATCATTTTATGTAAAATTTTGGTCTATTTATATTTGGTGCGACTTTTGCTGCATTGCATTGGCAATTTATAAGCTGCTTCATTGGTGGCTAGTGTTAGTAAACTTTCAAGGGGCCTCTGCGTACATGCGAGGACGTGCGCCGCCAAATGTCCTGGTCGTAGGTTCGAATCAGCCACAGCTAAAGATTTTTTTCCTGCTTATTTTCGCCCTTATTCATATTTCCTTTTACAGCTAACTTTTGTCCTTTCCTCGCTTTGCCTCTGTTAAAATTAAGGATGCGTAAAAGAAGAGAAAAGAGGACAGAATGAAAAGTGATAAAAGGTTAAGCAACTTTGAATGAGGCATTCAGCCTTTTCAGAAAAAAGGACAGAATGAAAAGTGATAAAAGTTTAAGCAAAATTGAATTAGGAATTCAGCCTTTTCTCAGATTTTTTCTAAGTTGGTCTGAAAACCGGAAATTTTCCGACAATGGGAGCACATTTTCGAATTTTTTGAGAATGCGGAATACGACCCAAAAGCAAAACGGCTTTACTATCATACCACATTTGACTCGCTACGAGCATTCTTTGAGGTAAGTAAAATTGGCTGGAACTCAAATGCAATCTAAAAGTTCGGTTATTCATAGTTCCTGCAGACTCTTCGAGAATGGTCGGAACAATTAAGGATATTGTGGGAAAATGTTTGATTATAGCTAAAATTAAAAACTGGAACCTTGCAAAATCTCTGCCAGCTCTCCAACAACCATCAGAAATGTTTTTCAAGGAAGAAAATTGGAAAAACATACAGTTCTGCGAAATTTTGCTTGAGAAATGTAAGGCAATGTTTCAATTGAAATAACAGGTTGTGTGAGTTTCTTGCTCAATCATCTAAGCCTTAATTTTTGTTGATAAAAAAACTTAAAAATGGACCCTTACTCATAGTTCTTTTGACTCTTCGAGAGTTGTCGGAACCATAATAAATATAGTTGAAAATGAGAACAAAATGTTTTGAGAGAAGCAAAGCACCGTATTCGTGCTTTTTTGTAGCCTACGTGTTTGTTTGCACAAAATTTGAAATGCTAGATAATAAATAAAAGAGCATCCCAAAAACCTCTAGCAGACTGGTAAACCAACAGCAACTTTATCTTTGGCAGCAAATTGAAAAGCCAAACAAGTTACAAAGTTTTCCTAGAATAATTAAATCAAATTGACGCTTTTCTATGCGAATAAATTGTCTAACACATTCAATGAAGTGTATTCTCAAATCCACTTGTTTTGAGGTGGGAGTTCAAAAAAATGATTTTTTTTTCGTGCCATTGGGTGTCCGCTGCTCAAATTTTGTGGACATTACAACCAATCCGTATGTTTTTTTTCCGATGCTGATTTAATTCTCAATCAATTAATTTCGCCTGTTTTTCTAAAAAAAAATTATTTAGAATATTTATTCAAGACAATTCGAGGCAAACAAATGAGTTTTGGCAGATAGGTTTTTGGTGATTTGAAAAAAATATTTGGCTACGCGGCTTTCGTCTCATGTTCTGTAGGCTGATTTGCAAGCTATAATTCTGTGCTTTGCAGGTGTGTGGAGCTACAATTAGCATCTGCATGCGATAATTCAAAATAGGTTTGAACTTAAATGACGAGACGAATCGAGTTGAGCATATGAAAATTGGCGAATTAGACAAGTTAGTTGGTCCAATTACTGTGATCTGGGCACAAAAATTATCGCTGAAGATTTGTCATTGCGTGTAGGGAAATGAATAAAAAGACCTTCTCCCATCAATTTTGAAGGAAAATGGTAAGATTCCTCTCCAATATTCAATCTGGCTTGAATTTCCTTAGCTCTGCATCGAAAGCACTCAACTTTGATCGGCTGAAATTTTCAACAAGAAGCAAATTTACGCCTTATAAAAATAGCTTTAAGGGTGGGTGTTAATTTGGTCCAAATGTTGACATGATTTGCGTTAATACGAGTAGTGTTGTTCGCTTCTTAACCATGTCTAAAGGGTGTACAGAAGTCTTGTTGTTTGCCTCAAAATTTTTCTTGAGCGAATTTTCTTTTTGTACAACTACGGCCCGGGTTTGGCAACCACGACCATTTCCATCACCAAATTTTTGTATGTGCAGATTTTCGCGGGAAACAAATTGTGTACCAGTATGAAAAAAGTTTATGCACGAGCCTGGAAGTTAGCACACGAGTCATTAGAATAGTTGATATATTCTTGTCAAACTACTGGGTATGATAAGTTTCTGGCTTCACAGTATTAAGTAGACACTCTAGTTAACAGAGAGTTCAGTAAGCAGATACATTTTTCAATTTCTTTATCAGGCAACTTAAGCTAAACAAAAACTCACCGGACATATTAAAACTTAAATTTTCATATATACTTTCTAAGTTAACTCATTTTGAAAAATGTTAGATTGAGTCATATAACCTAAACCAACTTTGAATGAAGACGGGCAGATCTATGATGTTTTTGATGTGAGGGTTGATATGTAATAAAATCCAACAGTAAATGAATGTTTCTAAACCACGCTTTGCGGTGCGTTCTTTTCCAGCTAACCGAAATTGAGTGCCTGCTTACTGACAGTATGAAATAAAGCTTGTCTGCTCGGCGACCGCACGCACAAACTCCTGTGCACAAACTATGCTAACCAGAGGAATAGAAAGTTTTGGCTTTAGGGGCGCTTTCCGCCGTTTTGCTTCAAACTGTTGTAAACACTCCCTTTCCAGCAAAGGAAATTTCTAAAATTTCGGAAGCGCCTTGTGCATGTAAGTCAACAAACTGGCTGTGGTGGCAGTGCATAGGAGCCCGTTCAGTTTACTCTAAGCTTAAACTATATTGCATATCTTTCAAAGAACAGTCAGCTCGATATTTCGATTTCCAATGCCAAACCGAGTTTTGAACAAAATTTGAGGCCAAGCACGGAGAAAGTCAAAGAAAAGCGTCAGTCAATTTTGAAGAACTGCAAATTACCGCTCCTTAGGCTCTGTTGGTATATGCGTTATAACAAGTACTTCGATGAAATTTTACCAATTGTTTTGCTCATAACTGAATATACCCTCCATGCTTCCACCTATAAATTTGAGTAGCTTCACTTGCGAAGATTGTCGCAGAAAACACGAATATATTGTTTATATCAGCGATAGCTACACACTTGCGAGATACGAAGCGATTTTATTGAATTACACAATTGTCGTAAAAATATGGCAACTAGCTTGAATTTTATTCAGTCGATCTAGAAATTGGACAATCTCTAACTCTGAAACTCAAATTGGGTCCAGAAATCAATAGAAGCTGGTTGCCCAACACTCTTTCCGAAAACAATAGTTTTGTTCATGGTCATCTGCGTTCAACTATTTACCGATATTTTCCAGCTATGGCCAATCAAAATAGGTATGAGCCCACGTCTGCAAAATGGGTCGACAGGACAAATTATTACTCGTTGCCCCGCCCCTACAACAAAAACAGAGACTCCATTGTTCCTCCGCAGGACCAGCCGCCGGCAAAAACAAGTGCTCAAATGCATCGTGAGCAAATCTTAGTTTTACCTTCCGGAGCTCACGGGGGACTAGCAACAAACAACACGGGGTCGCTTCCACGACGTCCAACAACTATCTCTCCACAGCGATCGGTGCTGCCACCTAAAACGATGAACTTGTTGATCCCGCGCCACCAACGAACCAGCTCTGCCGATTTGGTAAAAGCCGAAGTTTTTGTTCACCAAG